CAGCCATCGTATGCCGGCCGTGAAAGCCTTCGACAAAGTTCCATGACTTTTCTCCAACTGTTTGTCCATCAATCCCAAAAGAAAAACCTCTGGTTTCAATTGTATATTAATCTTTAAAATCCTCTGAATCAGTACACAGTATGTATTTGAATCCAATTTTTTTTAGTTTTTTTACATGTCCACCAAGCATGATAAAATATCCCTTCTCATTGTTCACATTTCCAACATGAATTTGAAGTGCCTTTATACATTCTAGACAATTTCTCTAGTGACATACCAACGGTACATCACTTTATAAAAATTTTCTTTAACATTATAACATAATGTAAATTTCAGTCCTTTCATCTGCATATTCTCCCATTGTTCCACTTGTATGTTATAACCAAAATTTTTATCATAATTCTTTCACTTGTTCTTCTGTTTCAAATAAAAGTTTATACATTTTAGCAATAACATTCATCATTTGTACACAATTCAATTTCAAAACCAGAAACTCTTTTGTCTATTTTAAATCTTTCTAATAACTGTAAATAAGAAAAACATTGGCAACTATATCCCTCTGCCACCAGTTCTTCTCTTGATTTTATTTTGTATTCCCCTTGACAAAATTCTAGTATCTCATGATAAGTTAGCTTTTACTAACTTTGATAATAAGTCTTTGCCTGTTATTTCTTGTCTATAAAATGCTTCGTGTGCTGAGAGCCACAAAGGTGTTTTTGGGCGCAACCTTGGTTTGTATTCATTTTATATTCTCAATATGGCATGTCTAACATAATGATTTTTAAAATCCACATTAACCTTGACTTTGTCGTACCACAAATCCCCATGCCATCCAAATCTCAGGTCATGTTCTTCTAACTCCAAGAGCCTTCTATTTCTCAGCAGCACCCACTCATTCATCCAAACCGAACAGCAAACTGCAAAATACAATTTCAAATCAGGTAGGCCCAATCCTCCTCTTTCCTTTGCGTCTTGTAACACCTTATATTTAATTCATGGTTTTTTTCCCAGCCACAAAAACTTAGATATATCCTCCTGCCATTGTTTAAATGGTGCATCAGTTGTCAAAACAGGTATTGTCTGAAACAAAATCATCATTCTAGGCAAAACATTCATTTTTATCATAGATTTTTTTCCCAGCAATGACAGTTGTAGTTTCTGCCATCTTAACATGTCTTTTTAACTTCATTCCGTGTCTTAACAGTTATTTTGAAATAACATACAATTCATATTTGTCGTAATGATACCCAGATATTTTACCTTCTTCTCAAGCTTAAAACCTGTTTTATTCATCAATTCTATTTGATCTTCTATTTTCATATTTTTGTTAACATCTTCATTTTCTGTTTGTTGATTTTAAAACCTATTAATGCACCACGTTCTTTTAGTTTTCTCATTAACATTTCAATTCCCTTTAAAGGATCTTCCAAAACCAACACCAAGTCATCTGCAAAAGCCCTTA